TATCACCCAGGTTCATCCGGTGTTAGTTGTAGAGGTGGTGTTCGCTTGCATTCTTTAGATCTTATCTTTGTCTTTTTTATTTACCTTTATCCCGCTTAATTCTTATTTAGTTGAAGTTCATCTTTTTTCCTTTTGTATTTTGTTATGCTATCCCTGTGATTATGTTTGCACCACTGTGACTAATGTGTCAAAGGTATATGCCGTTCACTTCTTCCTGGTAGTGGACTATTAGCCATTTGACGGAGTTATGTGCCTGCACGCCTTCCCGTTATCAGTGGAGGCATGTAGACTAGGTTTCTGGTTCTGGTAGAGCATTTGAAAGGGCCTCTACATAGGCTGTCTTAGTGGATGAAACAGACTCACTGAATATTTTAACGCTTACCTGTCACTAGATGCAGCTTCAAATATAACTAGGGCGTTCTAGCCTTGCTTTTATGTTCTGGAGACATCTACGAGAACCCTGTGTTCCTCAGTCTAACATAATGATGATTATGCCTGTGAAGGACATCTGCCACGGTAATGTGTGCAGTAACTCAAAGAATAACTCGCCGAAAGAGGCCGCGGACTTCACGGTGCAGGTGATCATCTCAAACTCCCTGGTTAGATCACCAATGGCTACGCGTCGGTGCTGGACTACAACATGTGCCACATCGCGTGCTGGTTCAAGAGGTTGACTCAAGATTGGCCACCGCTCCAGCAAGGAGCTGGAGAACAACCTTAAGTCTATCAACTCCGGCCACAGCGCTGATGTAGATGATGCTCTACAAACTGACGGCATGAAAATGTCTAATAACTACCCACTGTTGTCTTATTTGAATGATTATCTTGTGTAGTTTTTGTTTTTCATTCTTCAATCTATAGTTTTTCTTATACAAAGGTCTTGTGTTTTTCTCTATTGCCTTCTGGCGCTTCTTACCCCTACCTCAATGAATGATTGCAGTATGAAATTCTAGGGCAATTGTTTTCGATTTCATATACGTGATGTCATGCCTTCCGCTGCCGTCGCGATGTTCTATGACCACGAACAATAAAAGAATACCAGCACAAAGGATAGCGCTATTGAAGAATTTTTTTCTTACTACGGCTTAATACAGTTTTTTTTCTCGGTATGGGAAAAATTGATGTATTCTATATTTTATTCCTTTGTGATGCGATTACTGTCTTTTACGTTTCTGGTTTTTCTTAAGTCTACTTTTGTCCTAACTTTCTATTACACCAAAGTTTTCTGGCCACTATTATTTTTTCATATGTCCAGACGACAGTTTCTACGGGATATGCGGCGCGACACTCGGATGCGGAGTACTGAGTGCTACCGAAGTGACAACAGTAGTGCATCTACTCAAAACACTTCATTCACCTCTCAGGATCCAGGTTATATCTTGGAGAAGCCCTATCAGACATCTGAGGGATTTACGGATCCCACAGATATATTTAGTGGCGCATATAATTCCGAAAGAGTAATGACACACGATCCTGGCAGTACGTTAACAAGTTTGCAATGTACATTAGCAGACACCAGATGTGATGACCTTTCATTGAGGTTACCTTCGACTGACATCGACGATCCTCATGGTACTAGACGAACTTCTCGGCGAGAGGAAGAGGATTTGGCTAAGGAACACCTTTCCCAAAACGCAGGCTCTCATGCCAAAAATTCTCCTACAGAGTCTCTTCGCCCCGTTTTTGTCCCACGCTGTGAGGAGGGCATGCGCCAAGGCGAATCTTGCTTGGACTCCCCCCTCAGTAGGGCTGAGGTGGGTCCCGGTCCAGCTGTCCCTAGGGTGCTTCAGGAGCGGCTCGCAGACTCAGGTCTTGAACAGAAAATTATAGATGTCAAGTCGGGTGATGGAGTAAGCCTCAAGGTTGCTACAAATATAAGCACAGAGTCATTCAACAAGGCCTTTTCAGCTGCTATTCGACCTACACTTGACCAAGCTTGTGGGATTGCTTCTTTACAAGCAGAATCTTATCCAAATCTGAGGGACTTCACTCCGAGTTCTTTCTCTGACCCCAACTTGTCTATTCAAGGAAAATATAAACACCCTTGGAATGATGAGAATAAAAAAGTTGGATCGCCCATTGAGTCTAGTGGAAACCCTTTGAGTTTATTTCCATCAAGCAGTAGGCTTGTGGAGACTTCTCAAGATACGTTAGTGAATCCATCCGAGGCGAACAGCGGATGCAAGAATCAGTGCAGCAATGCAAGCCGCATCGAGGCTTCACTTCTGTCAATACAGGTAGAGTTGGCGAATGAAAAAAAGCGTAACATTGAAGCCGAGCGATTGATATCTTCTTTAAAACATGAAATAGAGGCCCTTCGAGCTGAAAATTCGGTGCTATCAGTTGCTGTTGCCTCTGCGACTAGTGCCGGTGGTGGCCTTAGGCAAGGCGCAGCCACCGACACTGCCGCCAGTGGCAGGACCCCGAGAACCTACATCATGGAACTTGAGCAACGTATTTCAAAGATCACAGCGGTACTCGAGACTAAGAAGAGCGAAATAGAAGCTAAGGACGAGAGAATTCGCCTACTGGAGCATACTTTAGCAAACCGTCTTCTTTCAACTGTTGTAACGCCAGCAGCGCCCCATATGAATGTGACGCCTCCTCAACAGAGTATCGCGCACACAGCCACTCGTGGAGAGGTGCGTGCCGCAAACATTCCGGACATCCTCAGTCGCATACAGCCACCTGGATCTGCTGCGGTCGTCTTACATGCAAAGGCTTCATCCCTTCAGGATTGCAATTCTTTCACTGGGGAGTCCAAGCACCTCAATAAACCATACAACATTTTGGTGTCAGACCGTGCTGGGATTGAGCAGCTGGCCAGTGTGCCTCGGCTTCCTGCTCCGACCCTAAATCTAGCGAGCAAGACTTCTGAAAAAATAACACACCCTACCATAGACGTCACACGACATGCTTCAAAAACGACACCCCAGTCCATGGAGGGGGTTGAACTTGCTAGCTCGAGGAACAAAGCAGTGGATAGGAGTCACATTGATTCTAATAAAAATAAAAGCGATGCCAGTATTGTGAATCACCATTTGGTATCACCGCCACCTCCGCACGCAACTGTGCTTTCTAAACGGAGTGAGAGCGTAGGCAAGGTCGAAGCTTCATCGGTGCGGGGCCAGGAAGATGCTCAGTTGCGATCTTCTTCAAAGCAAGTACGACACCCCTCCGTAGATCTAAGCAAATGGCGTAGCCGCAATTCCGATTGTGATTCTGCCCGTGCCTCACCACGCAAACCATCTGTGCGTCGGACCCCTAGAAGAGTATCTACTAATAGAACAGATATCTTGCTAGGCTCAAGCACGACAACAGACTCTGTACATCGATCCCTTGCCTCAGGCCCACGCTCATCCACGGCAACACGCAGTTCCTTTTCTCATCCTTATGGAATGAGTATGGCTGCTGCTCCACCTTTGACTGCATCCACCACGAAGGCAGCGATTGAGCACCCCCTTGCTGGTGTTTCTCGTCAATCTTCAAAGCCACTGTGCTCCATGATGCGGGCTTGGGGTCGCCGTGGTGGAAAATCACCGTCTCCGCGAGGCTCGCCAAGTCTTCGATCGGCTACCTCGGTGAACTCACGTCCGCGGATTCTATTTAATGAGAAGGACGAGACAACTGTGATGCAAGGGAAGACAACAACTGCCGTCTTTCGCAGCAGTCGCACACGGCAGCCCACCCCGCTTAACAACGGTGTTGATAAACCACGGGAGCCCCTGGTCGCGGTAGGAGATAGAGTGTCACTGATTCCGCATGCCGAACCGAAGGAGGTTGAGAAAGGAGACCTAATGAACAAGTAGGCATAAGAGCTCAATAATGCTGATATATATTTTGAGAAAAGGAAAGTGATGGTTGTACCGTGATTAATTACGATTACATTATCATGGTTGACAGATTCTTGTTCCGTCTCTCGTCAAACACATGTGGTGTCATTTTTTAAAAACCGTTTTCTCTATCTGAAAAAAATATAAATACACGTACGGTATGCGTATTTATAAAGCACATGAGTCAGTACCTCTCCTTGATGAAAAATAGATATGTTTCAGGTTCTGATCCAACGGGACCAGTAATGCTATATAAATTGCTATATATAAGACAGATGCCGTAGGGATGTTATTAGTAGCATTATTTGGCCATATTTTTCTCAAATTTCCTTCCAAAGTAGGAGAGCAGGGTTCAGTTATGCTTTTTGTGGTGTGATATTGCTGTTTTCAATCCTTCGTTTAGACATAGGGATAGTTTTTATCTCATTGAAGAAGTGTGATAAATTCAAGTCTAGTCTTAATAGTTGCTGCAATACGGATTTAGAGTAGAAGATTGAATAGATAGAAATGGAGATCAAGCATGCACAATAAATGAGTGCGGCTTTATCTCTTTAATGAGTGCTTTTGGATATAGATTTACCCCTTGTTGAAGGACTAATTGCTGAAGTTTATTTCGATTTTATGTGTATCTCGATCTATTTCTTCAACTATGCACTTTTAGCTGTTATCCTCTCTAGGGTAAGGAGAAAATACCAAATTTTCACTTCTATACAGGCTGATAAGACGCACTTGGGGTTCCCCCTTCGCATATAAGGCTTACATTTTCCGTAAGGTGCGCTTTCATTGGAGCCATAGGCAAAGTGGAGGGGCAGGTGACATATGCTTTTTTACCTTTTAAATAAGTATATGGGCCCCTATGACAGCATCTCAAGTTACCTGAATTAACATTAGCTCTGACATATGTGACCACTAGGATGGTGCCTGATTTTATTAACTATCCACTCTCGCACGCAGCCCACAAAGCTAGCAATGCTAATTAGATCTATAACACTTCCTACTCATCATACGTTCCCAAGTTGGTCTACCCAACTCCTGGGGCGCTATGCGAAAGGCCGCGCCTTATCTTGCTCGCACTCCGCTTTGTCAGCCGCATTCCCGGAGTGTGGAGGGAGGGGGGGGGGGGGGGAGGATTCATTCGCTCCTGCCGCCGAAGTTGTCTATCCCTTTGAATGATCTGACGGAGGACATTACCAGTCGCGATGATTAGGCGAGCCGTCTTTTACGCCGGTGGGGCCTCTTTCAGGCGGGATGAAGTCTAAGGTGGGAGCGAACCTAGGTGGAGCATACGGCGCGTCTCCCTTCTTGAGTGGATATGGATCACGGGCAACCTTTCTGGTATACAGCGGAGACCGCGTACCCCCAATGTTTATCAGAGAGTAGTTTGACTGATATGACCTCTGGACCTTTCTTTGGTGGCCCTTTTCATCATTATGGTGAACGACATGGGGGTTTGAGGGTCTTCGAGTGAACGCCAGAGGTTATCATAAAACTTTGCGAATAAAGCAATTTGAGGAGTATTTTTTTTTTGCAGTAGCAGGATGCATTTTTTTCCCTACCCTCTCCTGAAGGGTGTCTATTATTATTGGATGTCTTTGTTATTTTAATTCATGCATCATCTAAGAAGATGTAGTAAAATGTCTTTATTCGAGCAAATTTGTTTATCATTAAGGCTTTTATAGCGTCAATTGATGAATCCTTCTTTTTTGTGTGTGTGCGTTTCGTCTAGTTGAAATCGTCTTTGTATAAATGGATTGGTATGTATCCAAGGTGTACGATATTTTCCCGTGTACATTGATTTGAGGGCAGCTCGCCTCGATGAGGTGGTCGAACCGAGTAAATTTTGGCGCACCGCATTAACACCCTTCAGAGTGTTGCAATACTTCCCTCTCCTAAACCTCGTTTTAACAGAAGTTTGCTTTATTCACTCTTTAGGTTGTGTCTTTTTTATCAATCAATACTTTTCGAATAGAAAAGACAGACCATGCGTCTATTTTTTCTTTTAATCCATTCATTTTTTCCCTTCCAAGTAGATCTATACATAATATTCATCATGTAATGTACAGTTCTTTTTTATACTGAAACACGTGTCTTGTGTGTGTCTGGGGTGAGGGCGGCTGAGAACGATGGTGGTTCTGTAATACGTCCAACTTTACCCAGACGCTATTTTCTTTACGCACGCTAAACTTCGTAGCAAAAGTGAAAATGTTTGGTTGTGGTCATACTCTGATGTATTGTTCTCCCATGTGGGCTCTGATAGAGTTACTTCATCAACCGAAATCATTACTTTTCAATAAAGAGCATGCTCATATAGCTACGATTCCTTAGCTGCTGTGAATTCACAGTTAATGTATGCTGACTCCCTTTGTATGCGTCTTTGATTTGTTGTTATTTTAGTTTTTCTCTACTAAGTATCTTAAATTTCTTTCCGTTTTTCCTGTCCACCACAAAAAATATATTTCCTTTTAGAGCTTCTTTTTCGCATTCAGCAAGCACATTTTCTAAACCAATCACCAACATCGAACGCTATGGCCACTCCCAAGTCTGCTCCTAAAGCCAAGCGCGCCAGCACCTCCCACCGCAAGCCGAAGCGCAGCTGGAACGTGTACGTGAATCGCTCCCTCAAAGCCATTAACAAGCAGATGAGCCTGAGCGGCCGCACCACGAAGATCGTGAACTCGTTTGTGAACGACATCTTCGAGCGCATTGCGACGGAGGCCGCAACGTTGGTGCGGGTGAACAAGAAGCGCACGCTGGGCGCCCGCGAGCTGCAGACGGCTGTCCGTCTGGTGCTCCCCGCGGAGCTCGCCAAGCACGCCATGGCGGAGGGTACCAAGGCCGTTTCCAACGCGGCCCATTAGAAGAATTTTGCACCCTTCTAGTCCCTTCCACTGGGCTTAATATAGAGTTTAATAGTTTATTATTATTTTATTTTATTTTCTTTCTTTTTCCTTTTTTTTGATTTCTTTTTCGAATCTGAACTGACAGGGGAACGCTATGATTCAATTTTTGTTCGGTGCGTGTGGTTAAAAAAATATTTATATAACACTCAGCAACTTCACATAGAAACTACATCGCTGAATTAGTTGATCTAGAGATGAAACGATTATCTCCGAATACACGGGTTGGATGCTCTTTTGATATCTCACTATGTGTATGCGTTTACAAATTTTAACAGATATTTCAATTCCCCTTCTCTACGTCTGGTCATACGTTTTCTTTTTTTCATAATCCCCATTAAAGGTAAAATATATGTTAGGCCCGCATATTTTCTTGCTTCGTTTAGTAATCACATTACTTTAGTCTTTTAATATTTTATTTTGTTCCACGTGTGCGTGGCAGGAACAGTTGTGGGTGGTGGTCAATGTCTTATTTTTATCAGCGGACTTCATAATTTGCTATAGCTTTTAGATAGTATTTCTTCGATTTGCTTGCATCACGGAGAGCCGAGGACCAAACACAACGATAGAGTCAGGTATGAAGTCAAAGGATGTTACATTGATAAACCTGACGCCCAGTAATGAGGGTCACGCTAGCGTATCAATGCTTCATAACGCTGACGCGATGAATCCCGGTGGAGGCACGTCATGTAGATTATGCGATGCTTCAGATGCTGTTCAAGGCGGTATTGACACGCCGAGTCGCGAGTACGAAGCAGTTATCTGCGCGCAGCTTCGAAGGCTTATCGAGAACGGGCAGGTTGCATGGCGGCGCTCGATGAGTCTCTGGTACATTCTGCTTCGTAGCGCTACATTTGAGCAGAACAAGGCTATATGGGTTGCTTGCGCCATGCTTATCACTTCGTGTGTGCTGCATTCCCTCGCGCGGGTTATTATCTGCACGTGTGTATTCATTGTTATCTACTTTCTTTACATACTACTGCAAGGGTATCTGTTTTGGATGCGCATGACAGAGGTAAAGTACCGCACGGCGAACGTTATGGCTGAGGTTATTCACCGATGGACTTCACGCATCGGATCAGCGAAGCAACCCAGTCAGACTGCACAGGAGCGGCGTATTCTGTTCATTGAATGCTTTGCACAGCTCCCTTTAAAGGCGTTTCGGATGGTCGCCATCGTTGATTCTCGCACCCAACGCCTCAAGCACATCCAGAAGTGTCTTATGGTAAAAGGTGCCCGACGACTGGACGAGGCGATGCTCAGGGCACGTCGCTATGTGGAGCCAGTTGGCATCTGTAAACTTGTCGACGTTATGCGGATTGCGCTAGAAAACAACGCGATTGTACTCAAATCCCTTACAGACAAGTGCAAGCCACCACGCCTACCCAACTTATTTATCTCCGCCACCGAATTCATTGAGGACGAGGCTACAACAGATGAAAGTGACGGGGAGAACGACTCACGTACCCCCGCGCTCGGCGGTGCCGGTGGGATCTCCACATCCGCCTCGCAGCAGATGGAGTACTTTACCCATCGTGTGATGCTCTTCTTGTGGGTTGCTGGTTTGATTATTACCGTCGGCGTGGGTCTGTTTCGTTACGCCACAGGAAGGACCACCCTTTACGAGGGTGTCTTTCTGAACCCCCCTGTTGCCCTGCTAGGGCTACTGCCAGTGAATGCCATTGTGCTTAATCGTTTTCTTGTGCTCTACGCGAACATCTCATTAGATAAGCTCTTCCATTTGTTGGTGTCAAAACGCACGCATTTCCTCGATGACCGTTTGCCACGCTTCTCGTTCTGGTCTACGCTGTACACAGCGCTGCGTGTTTTTTTCCGTGTTGAGCCGAAGTGTGGGGGCCGCAATCCCCTCGTGTTCTCCATCTCCCTTGTGGATGTACTGGCAATGGCCTCCGTCATCGCAATGCTGGATCAGGATGGCATTGTAACCGATATGGTGCCGCTGCCTGTTGAGGTTCTGATGCTGAAGCCACCACCTGAAGCGGCGAGCTCCTCCAGCGATAGCGAGGACGATATCATGGACTGCCTGACGGGGAGCGAGGAAGTCGAGGTGAGGGAGCGGCGGCGCAATATGAAGAAGCAGGTCAGACGGAACAAATTTCAGGCAAACCGTCTCGTGACACTGCGTTTCACTCAGAGCGCCAAAGAGGACCTCGCAGTGGAGTTTGCCGATGCGAAGGATATGCAAAAGTATCAGATGCACGTCCGCCCGATTTGTCTTGGGATTCTTGTGCACGCCTTGGCTAAGCCTTCGATGAACTTGGAGACGTGGACGGAGCCATTTCGTTTTGTGGACCGCTCGCTGCGTTGGTGTCGGGCGATGCACTGGATACCGCGTGCGTATGGTTTCTCAGATAGCGTCGCGGAAGGGTTTTTAGTGATCTTACGCATCTTCAACATCGAGACCTGTGCTAGTACAGGCTACCGCAATCAGACTCCAGAGCAGTCGTGCTCGCTCCTGCTTGAGGACAGCGATAGAATTCTTCATGTTTTCACCATTGGTACCCCGCACATGGTCACGAAGCACTGCACCACGTACTGGACCGGCACCACAGTGGATGCGTTCCACAAAGAGGAAAAGATTGAGGTGATGCATACTGGTAAGCGCCAGTGGGAGGATATGATGTGCTATGAGACCGTCGCACTCGCCCACCGAGTGCTTCCCGAGCGTTACCGGTCTTTTGTTAGCACGCTGCCACGGGACCCCCGACAGCACCGCGAGTATTTCTTCTGTGATGGTGAGGAGGTCAATGGCGACTCCTGGAAGAAGGTTCTGACGGAGCGTGGCGCGCCGCACCCGCAGCGTGGGATGAAAGGTTCTGACAAGGAAGCTCACTGTGTAAAGAGCCATGAGCAAGCCAGCAAGGTCCTCTACGATATCATGGAGGGCGGCTGCTGTGAGCACAGGGATGATGGTGTCCAGACGGCGCACCTCGGAAAGAGGGGTTGCGTGCAACACCATCGCAGTGCAAGCTTTTCGGCACCTACGCTGCCCTCGCGGCATAGCACGCAACGCCTGATGCCGCCCCGGTCGTTGTCCTTCGGTGATCAGCCCAGCGAGAAAGCAGGTGCCCTGGAGGAGGACGACTGCCTGACACCTAACACCTTCATCCGTCTAATGGCCACGACCTCACACACTTTTCTCGGTCTCGTCGCGCTGAGGGACTCTGTACGACCTAACGTCCAGACCTCGATGGCGATGCTTGACGAGGCCGGCGTGCGGTGTATGTACTTTGTGGCGGGGAACAAGCGCCGGGCGCACAGCTTCGGGTCCCGTGTAGGACTCGAGACGGACTGGAATTGCTGTATTTCCCTGAAAGGGGACTCCGTTGCGCTCGATCCGCACAGTATTCGTGCCCAGCTGCCCTTCGGCATCAAGTCCATCCGAAAGCACATTCTCCACGTCGACCCCATCCCGCTGCAGGTGAATCTGTTCTCACATGCACACGGCGTCGCGACGCGGGCGATGCTCTCCATCCTGCAGGACAATCACGAAGTCGTTATCGCAGTGGGTTCTGTGTTCAACCACAGCAACGTCAGGAGCTTTATACAAGCGGATCTCGCCATCGGCGTGCTGCCCACACGGCGCGGCCTGAACGCGGACAAGGAGCACAGTCTCAAGCGAAGTCGGATTGTCGAGCCGTCTGATTTTTCCGCCACCAACACCCTTAATCGAGACCTTCCGCTCTATCGCAACATCGCCGAGTTGATTGGATGCGCTTGCACTCTGCGCTCGCCGCCGACAACGTCGGTCTTGCCCATCTTAGTGACCATGGTGCGACAGGCACGGTTGCGTCTCAGTGGCATCAGTAACTGCATCGAATTCATTCTACACGCGAACGTGTTCGTTGTGATGGTCAATACCATCGCCCTACTGGTGTGTGGGTTTCTTCTTCTGGAGCCGATTGTCGTGGTCTTCGAGCTGAACCTCATTCTACCCATCTTGGCGTTGGCCTGTACTCACACGGCGCACTCCAGCGCTGATATCATGAAGACCATGCCATCGCGCGTCAACTATTTTGTCCGGCTCGCTATCTTCAAGCACAGCGCCGTGGTGTGGGGGTTGCGATACCTCCCTTCCGTGGCTGGGATTCTCGCGCTTGGGCTTACCGCCGCCGGGCGCCTCTGCGAGGGCGGGGTGCCGAGTCTCGCGCGGAACCCCCCAGACCGCTGTGTGCACGCCGCGCGAGGCTACGTCTGCTGGACGCTAAACTACTGGCTCCTTCTGCACGGCTGGACGCATCTCAGCCGGCACCACCCCATCACCCTCGGCCTCCCGCACCGGCTCTGCCACGGCCGGCCCTCACCTCACCACCGATCTGCGCGTTTTCTCAAAGTGGGCGCCCTCGTGGTGGGGCTCACGTTGGGGCTCGTCCTCGCCAGCACTCCCGGGGCCGCCCTCGGGGCCGCGTTTCTCCCTTCGCCTGCGCATACTCTCGTTTCGTTGACTTTCCCGGTCGTTTTTTTGGCGTTGGATGTGCCGATTAAGCGGTGGCGTGCGCGGCGGTTTTCTCTGATGCAAAAATTTCGCAAGTTGAGCTTTGGCACTCGCCTCGGGATGCACTCCCCACGCGGGGACTACGAGCCGGAGGGGATGATGCACGGTGGGGTAGGCTCCACTCACCACGCAGGTGGGGAGCGGGCAGAAGGGGGGGATGGCGACGAGGCGGTGCGTATCCCTTTTCGTAAGTGCATCAGTGAAGCTTTTTACCGGTATACCACGATTCGAGGGGGGAAGTTGGAGTTGAATTGCGTGTGCTGTGATCACATCGGTGGTAATTACGCATCGTATCTGACTCCAACAAACATGTGACGTATCAAGAGATAGAGAAGGAAAGAGAGAGAATCTACGGGTGTGTGGGAGTAGGTGGCGAGAAAAAAGCTAAGCATTCAGAAGTGGGGAAGTCGGAAAAACGTTGAGGGCAGCGTGACCACCGTCCTCAGTGTCATCATCTTTTCATTTTTATTTCGAAAAATAAGCAGCTTGCTAAGCATAAAGGCTAGACCTAATGGAGGCCATGCCGTGTTCAAATATGTGTGCGCCTGTTCCTTTCTTTTATAAACAAGTGAAAGATTCCCATCATATCTGCTTCAGATTATGCGTTGCTTTCATTCTTATTTTTGCATCATTTTTTACCCCTTAACACGTCTTTGCATTTGTTTAGCTGTTTTTTCCTCCGCGCATTACTATCTTTTTTTCTTGTTATTTACTGATTGGTGATTGCGATGACTAGCAACGATCTCATCCCCCCAGAGCTGTTGCTGTGCATTCCGACCCCATCGGTTCCTTCGGAGTATTTCGATACCGGAAAACTTATCCTAACAGTCGAGCAAGCGGAGAAGCTCCGCGACACGTATTTTCAGGATGTGGCATTTTACATCGAGTCTAATGCTGTCGACACAGATCGGGAGCTGGTCCCGGCGGTGGAGTGGGGGCTGCGGCTTTACAACGCGGAAAACTTTACCGGCGAACTCTGCCCATCCGAACGTGAACATTTACGCGCCGTCTATGAACGGTTTGGCGCGGCAGCACTTCTTCCATTGCTTCCCCCTCTCGCTTCCTCAACGGAAGGTGGAGCGAATGGTGATGCGGATGAAGGGCACGCTAAAGGTCCACCCAGCGTCAATGAAGCCTTATTGCATGAAACGTTCCTGCAGAGGCTTTTGACGAGTGATGGCGAGATGCCTATACCGTGTACCCGGATGAGCGGTCTCTTGCTGTGCCTCATAGCGATCATCACGTCCAACGTTAATGGCAATGGGGCCTCTCCGAGGCCGCGTTTTCCATACACCAGCCCATGGCGATTGCGCACCCATTTTCGCCACCAACTTTGCTTGCAGCGTCGTGCGCATCACGTGTTTTTGGAGCTCTCTGCATGCGTCGATGCGATTCTGTCGCAGCCGGAGGAGACGATAACGGTGGAGGCCCTATTGGAGGTGGGCCACGTCCAGAGCTACTACCACCGCCGTGAGCTCGCCGCAGACACCTTCCAACGCGCCGCGAAGCGGAGTGGGTTAATGCTTGAGGAGGAGGCTATCATGGGCGTGCGCACCCGATGGCAGCGACATCAGCTTGTGCAGGCCGTGCTCAACGCGACGAGTTCTCGCCCCGTCCCGCAGGACTCGACCACGGAAGAGCAGCCTCACACGGTAATGCCCGAGGCGGAGGGCCACGATCTCCTTGATCGCCCGCGGGGGATGCCGGAGTCGGAGCCACTTCCCGTCGTGGCGCTTCATCCGGAAGACAAGGCGATCCTCCTCGCCTTCTGCATGGATGCCCAAAGCTGGGGTCCGAGCCACGACCTCGCCCGCCACCGCACGCAGCTCTTTGTGGAGCGGTTGATCGTCGATCCATCGCCATCGCCGTTCGTTGTGCGCTGCCAAACGCTGCTGGAGCGCGCGCGGTTGGAGGTTCATCGGAATCGTGTTCGCGAGCGTGCCTTCATGCAGTTCTCGGAATTGGTCGACCAGTGCACGGCCAGGCGCGATCCGAACCACGCTAATTTTGCGCGCACAAATAGTAGCTATTTTTACAGCGTCGCGTACCCGTCGATGTGGTCTCTTAAAACGGAGTACGCAGACCTATGTTTTGAGGAGAATTTGTATAAAACTGCACTTGATATTTACGAGCAGGTTCTTGACTGGGAGAAGATCATCGAGTGCTGCAAGAAACTGGATAAGCGCCGCAGGGTCGAGTCGCTGGTGCGCGAGCTGCTGGAAAAGGATCCCCAAAACCCAGTCTTGTGGGTTGCGTTGGGCGAGGCGACCCGCGACGATGCGCATCTGTGGAAGGCATGGGAGCTTTCACAGCACAAGATGGCGTCGCCGATGCGCGCACTTGCTCGCCTCGCGTTGGAGCGGAAAAACTATGAAGATGTAGTTCGCTACTTTGACGAGGCCGTACGCATCAACCCGGTCTTTGGTGGGGACTGGTTCACGTTGGGCTACGCATCTCTGAAGCTCCGGCTGTGGGGACGTAGTGGGGAGGCCTTCACACGCGTCTGCCAGATCGACCCCGAGGATGCATTCGCGTGGAATAATTTGGCCTCGATTATGCTCCGCGAGAATAAGCCCCGTCTCGCTTTTAACGCGATGAGCCAGGCACTACGCAATAACCGCCGCGACTGGCGCATGTGGTTAAACTATTTTCATATCGGCACCCAGCTTAAGGAGGTCCTGGAGACCACGAACGCGCTTGGCATTGTACTTGAAATCGGCAAGCGAAGCGTTAGCCTGGATAGCGATGTCATGGATATGTTCGTAGACAACACGATTGCTTACCTCAAGGGCGACATCCCAGGCGCTCCTGCGGAGATTGCCGGCGAGGGCGAAGAAATGCAGCCGGACGCGGTGCGATTTAAAAGTATCACGAACACAAGTATGACTTCGATCCAGGCCGACATCGCGCACGTCCCGATACGCGTCGATGATTTCACTGTGGATGGCAGTAGTGGCGAGCTCGCGGGTGAGGGGGATGCGGCGGCGTGCGCGAGTTTGTTGCCGCTCGGCCTGGACTCGGAGGACATGGAGGCGTGGAAATGGAGCTCGGCCAAGGGGCTACAGGACGAAGACAACGCCGTGGTGCAGGCTGAGATCCGCAAGCGTCATGAAAAGCGCGTCCGGGATCTCTTTGCGCGGCTTCTCGATAATTTTGTGTCCGACCCGGATCTTTACAGCTGCACGGCGCGTCTTTTCCGCTACCTTGATGGCCCCTCCGCGGCCCATCACTATCGCGTGAAGGAGCTGCGCGCGTGTCGGCAGAAGGATCAGTGGGAGCGCAGCGATAAATTATTCCAGCGCACCGTAAGGTGCTTGGAGGGGATGGTCGATGATGTGGTGGCGATGGTGGAGGTCAAAAGCGAAGCCCCGCAGGCATCTGTTACTCGAGAGCCTGCTACCGATCCTGAACGGGTGGAGTCCGGCGACTCTGTAGATCATCGGGTTTTCGTAACGGCTGAATCTCCTATCGACGATATGGCCTTGCGACCGATCCGACAGGACTCTTCAGGAGTTTCTGAAGGGGAGGCCTCATCACGGAAGTCCGCGATTCATGCCCTAGAGGAGACTTTACAAAACATAAGGGCCGTCTTGAGCTCTACGGAGGAGTATATGGAGTCCACAGAAGGATACGCGCGGCTTCGCGGGCTCGCCGGCCGTGTGAGGGCCGTTCTCGAGGCAGTGAAGTCACCCACCCTTTGAATTCCATTTTACCATGTGGTTGACAGACATATCGCAATGGTCGGTTCATTTTGCCTTTGAAAATAAGTAAAATCGCTAACATATTGTGTTTTAATTGCAAAAAGTTTTTTTTTTCCCCATAGAGGTTAGGGGGGGGGGGGGAGTAAGGGGGTGTCCTTTTTATTAATCTAACTGTGAATGCGTGTCACCGTAATTGATTTCCTCCATCTTTGTGATAATACGAATAAGACTAACATTTCTAATATTAAAATATTCTCTGTGTTACTGTTTTCATACACTCCGGCTCATGCCAGGGTAGTACTGCATCGTCGACGATGTGATTGGTATTGTTGCTTTTAACCCTCGACTTGAAGGGCCTACTCATTTGTTTATCTTTTTTACTATTTCTTGATTGCGTCTTTGAGTTACGTTGGAGAGTGTCAAACAAGGAGAAAGTGCGTGAACGAGGTCAACACACGTGCACATACATTAAATTGGATATAGAAACGAGGGGAAACTATATCTGAAGTGAAGAGGGCAAGGTTTTTTTTTTGACTAAAGAGGCGTAATACTGGTTCGGTTAAGGTCAAGTGCGTATAACAGAATACATTTAGAGATACCATAAACATTAAAGAAAAAATACTTAACTGTAGCACATAAGTAAAAAAATAAATACACAAATATCTTTATTACGAGGTAATTCATGCCGTCTTCCATCACGAGTCACGCACGCTCCACTGCGTCTACCGGGCCTGGGGGTGGTGTGGTCAAGCGTAAAGTGGACGATCGCCTCAAGACACTTCTCGAGTACTTGCCCAATCGAAAGCACCGCGGGTTGATTCTTCTAGTGGGAGACAGAGCTAAGGAGCAGATTGTAAACCTTCATCTGATAGTGTCTCGTGCAAACCACAATGCAAAGGTTAATGTGCTATGGTGCATGAAGAAAGAGCTCGACTTCGGCTCAACGAGTCAAAAGAAGCTTGAGCGGCGCGGTCGACTTGAGGTGAAGGGGGGTATGGCCACTGAGGCCTCCAAGGAGGCTTTCGAGACCTTTCTTACTCAGACACAAATCCGGTTTTGCAAGTATAGCGAGACGCACAAGATTCTTGGCCAGACCTTTGGGATGGCTGTGCTGCAGGACTTCGAGGCCATCACTCCTAATACTCTCGCCCGGACGGTCGAGACGGTGAAGGGCGGTGGTGTTGTCGTCATCATGTTCCGCGCGATGCAATCGTTGCGGCAGCTCTACACCATCGTCATGGATGTTCACGCGCGTTACAAAACGGAGTCCCAGCGCGATGTCGTGCCGCGGTTCAACGAGCGCTTTCTGCTCTCGCTCGTGGACTGTGACACCGCCCTCTGCCTCGACGACGACCTCAACGTGCTGCCCATCACGCAGCGGATGCGAGGGGGAGGGGGGTCTGGCCTCGGCGCCACCCCTCGCGATGACCCGGCGCTCGTCCTCCAGGGCCGCCTCCGCCACGAGGCCGAACTCGCGCAGCTGAAGGAGCGGATCGCCCCGAGCGCTGTGGTGGGCCCCCTCGTCCAGCGCTGTCAGACGATGGATCAGGCCAAGACAGTTCTTTCCCTGATGCAGGCGATCACGGAGAAGAGCCTCGATGCGACGTGTGTCGTGACGGCTGGTCGTGGGCGCGGGAAGTCGGCCGCGCTGGGGATGGCCGCCGCAGGGGCCATCGCCCAGGGCTACAGCAACATCTTCTGCACGGCGCCGTCGCCTGAGAACCTGCAGACGTTTTTCGAATTTGCCATCCGCGGGCTGAAGGACTTTGGGTATGTCGAATCCACCCACTTTGAGGTCTTGCAAAGCAACAGCGAGGACTTTGCCCGGTGCATTATTCGCATCCATGTGTTCAAAGAGCACCGGCAGACCATCCAGTTTGTGTCCGCCACGGATGCGGAGGCCTTTGCGCAGGCTGAGCTCGCGATCATCGACGAGGCGGCCGCGTTACCACTGCCGTTGGTGAAGCGCATGTTAGGGCCGTATTTGATTTTTTTGTCCTCAACCGTCTCGGGCTACGAGGGCACGGGCCGAAGCCTTTCGATGAAGCTTATCGCGGATATGCGGAAGCGCAGAGGTGGGGGCGGTCAGGGTGCGAATGGGGCCCCTACCGGTGGGCGGCAGCTCAAAGAGATGTCTATGCACGACGCCATTCGCTACGGCCCAGGTGACCCGCTGGAGAAATGGCTGAACACGTTGCTGTGCTTGGACGCAACGGAAAAGGCGGTACCTCTGCGTTCCAGTCCGCATCCCAAAACTTGTGAACTCTACTACGTCAATCGTGACGCACTCTTTTCCTATCATCCCTTCGCGGAGGAGGTGCTGCAACGTATCCAGGCTCTCTTGGTTGCAGCGCATTACAAAAATCAACCTAACGATCTTCAGCTTTTATCTGATGCACCCGGTCACCACTTGTTTGTGCTGTGCTCAGCAAGCTTAGAGGATGAAGGTCAGAGTCTAGATACGCGTGCGGGGGGGGATGAGGGGCGTAAGGGTTTAATGGAAAAGGTTCCGGATATTTACTGTGTGGTCCATGTGTGTGAAGAAGGACAAGTGAGCGCCGAGACGGTGCGCAGTAACCTTAGCCATGGTCTCCGCCCCTCAGGGGACCTCATCCCCTACACATTATCGCAATACTATCTCGAGGAGGGGTTTGCGAAACTGGCTGGCATGCGCGTGGTACGCATTGCGACCAGCCCGGAGCTTCAACGGGCGGGTTACGGCTCGCGTTCCTTGGCATTATTGCAGGCGTACTATTCCGGGTCGATTTCCCTTACTGCCGCCGCCAAGCCAGGGGAGACGGCGCAGACCAGCGCAGCGACGCGCCTCTCTTCTGATGGTGAGGGGGTAGAGCAGGAGGCGCGGCTGCAAAGCCGTGGTCGCGTTCTCAACCTCTTCACGCCATTGGTGGAACGTCCGTATGAGGTACTGGACTACCTGGGTGTTAGTTTTGGACTAACGACTGAGCTCTTTAACTTTTGGAAGCGCGCAGGCTACGAAGCGCTGTATGTCCGTCAGGCTGCCAATGATCTCACGGGAGAGCATAGTTGTGTCATGATACGCCCAAACGGCCTTGATCTGACCCCACTTAAGGAGGAGTTCCGACGGCGATTCCTTCGACTTCTATCCATGCCTTTTCGGTCGCTTTCGACGGAACTGTGCTTGAGCGTTTTATCTGACCTTGATGTTCACGACGCCAAGAAGTTGTTCGAACTCACCGACGCCACGCAAGCCGCGGAGCTTCGCATCGTGCGCGTCGGTGGGGTACGCCAGGCCAATCGCACCGACCTCACGGAGATTTTCAGCGCTTCCGATTTGAAGCGTCTCCAGTTGTTCTCCACTTCCTATGTGGAGGGCAGTAATGTGCTTGACCTCATCCCAGCTGTCGCCAAGCTGTACTTCGAGCATCGTTTGTACAAAGCACCTGACGGTACGGAGGGTGTTATTCTCACACACGCGCAGGCCGCTGTGCTTCTGGCTGTAGGACTGCAATGCCAATCCTTAGAGGAGCTTTCTAAACAAGAGGCCTTCGCTAGCGTCCATATACTGCAGCTCCGCGCCTTTCTTCAGAAGGGGCTTTCTCGTCTGATAGAGCACTTTGGTGCCCTCCAGCGGCTTGATAAAACACACACTAAGCGTGATCGTGAGGATGGCGTTGATATTGCCAAGGAGGATGAGGAAGTCCGCGAGATCAAGGATGCGAGTGGGAAGGTGGTGGGGCTTACCGTAGCTAAGAAGGTCAAAAAGCACATAGAGGTCGACTCAACGTTACTGCGGGATTCGTCAGTGATCGCGGTAGCCGGTGGCAGTTCTCAGGAGAAGGCATCGTCATCACTGCAGGAGGTTTTCCATCGACCTAAGAAGAAGAGCTCCCGTCACCGATAAAGAATCTGATCCTCGAGGATGACAGCATATCCATTGAAATAAGCTGAATTGCAGCTCAAAGACTAACCATATATATATATATATATATATATATATATAACAAGATGACATCGTCCGTTCTTATTTCTTTTAGTTCGTTT